CATTAGGGTTGCAAAATCTTTTGGGAAATTTTTTTTAAACACATTAGGGTTTTGATGCATTAGGGTTCCATTCTTTTTTGATAACCCTAGTTTGAAACTTCCCTACTCTTACCGTTGTCCACCACCGACCGGTAGCTCCCAGTGTCTGACGTCCGCCGCGCCTCCTGCAGCTGTCCGCGACTTCACTTTCCGACATCACTTCCGTCTGCAGCCATTCGTGTCTTCTCTCAGACGCCGCAGCGGTCCGCGAACGCTCCAACCGGCTCGCCTTCGTCCCGAGCTACTTCTGGCACCGTCGTTTGGCCGGCGCTCCCTCCGGTTTGCTTCCCTCTACCTTTTCCGGTGGTTCTAGGGTTTGGGTTGTGTCTGTCTTCTCTTGGTGTTGCTGATTTGCCACTGTGAAGGGTTATTTTGTTGCTGATTTGCATTTGTGAAGGTTTATTTTGTCTTCTTGGCTGCCTTTATATCTCTATTTGGGACTATAGCTGAGAAGAAATCCATAGTTGTGTCCGATATGGTGCCTGTGATGTCTAAAATCATAGACCATAAGTTCAATGGCTTGAATTATTTAGATTGGAGTAAGACCGTTCACCTTTATCTCCGGAGTATTGACAAAGATACTCATTTGACTGATGATCCTCCTACAGATGATTCGAAACAGACGTGGCTTTGAGAGGATGCTCGTTTATTCCTACAGATTCGGAATTCTGTTGATAGCGAGGTGATTGGTTTCATCAATCACTGTGAATTTATTAAAGAATTGATGAATATTTGGATTTTTTGTATTCTGGTAAAGAGAACCTTTATCGCATGTATGAGGTCTGCAAGGCCTTTTACCGTGCATAAAATAGGATCAGTCTCTTACAAACTATTTTATGGCTTTCAAGAGGACATATGAGGAGCTTAATATGTTATTACCTTTTAGCCTTGATGTGAAGGTTCAGCAACGCCAGCGAGAACAAATGGCTATCATGAGTTTTCTTGCTGGCCTTCCCTCTGACTTTAAGACTGCTAAGTCTCAGGTTCTTTCTGGTTCTGAGATCCCTTCCCTGCATGATGTCTTTAGTCGAGTACTTCGCATTGAAGGTACTACGCCTGTTCAACTCAGTAGTGCGTTGGTGAGTCGAAATACTTATGAGTCTGGGAGATCAACCAGTCAGAGTGGGAACAAAGGAGGAGGCCCACAGGGACCTGTTACTCGACCACTGGGTTCTGGAGGAATTGTGTGCCATTACTGCCACAAGCCAAGACATACGAAGCGTGAATGTAGTAAGCTTCAATATCGGAATTAGCGAGCTCCCTCAGCCCATGTTGCTTCCGCCAATGATCATTTGGAGAAATCGATTACTCCCTGCAGAGGAATTTGCAAGTTCTCACAGTATCAAGAATCACTCAAGTCTTCATCTCCCTCTGTCACGGCCATTGCTGATTCAGGTAACCCAAATGCGTGCCTTTTTTCCTCATCCTCCAAATGGGTCATTGATTCTAGTGCCACAAATCATATGACAGATAATTCTGGTCTATTTTCTACTTTTCAATCTCACACTTCCACTTCTATCACCACTTTGGCCGACGGGTCCCCATCGTGTGTTCGTGGGTCTGACACAATTACTCCTACTCCTCTGCTCCCTTTGTCGTCTGTCTTGCATTTACCTAATTTATCCTTTAATTTGAATTCTGTAAGCCAGCTTACGCGCAATCTTAACTGTTATATCTCATTTTTCCCTGATCATTGCTTATTTCAGGATCTTATGACGAAGAAGATTATTGGTAAAGGACATGAGTCTGGCGGTCTCTACATTCTTGACACACCGATGCCTACATCTGTTGCTTGCTCTGGTCTAACCTCTCGCTTCGAGGCACATTGTCGGTTGGATCATCCATCTCTTCATTTGCTCAAGAAGCTTTGTCCCCAATTTAGTAAGATGTCTTCTTTAGATTGTGAGTCGTGTCGGTTTGCCAAACACCATCGTCTTAGTTCGAGTCCTAGAGTCAATAAACGTACTAGTCTTCCTTTCGAATTAGTTCATTCTGATGTTTGGAGTCTTTGCCCTATTTTGTCTAAACCTGGATTTTGGTATTTTGTTACTATTGTGGATGATTATTCCCGTGTCCCTTGATTCTATTTCTATTCCTAAGTCTATTCATGAGGCCATCTCTCATCTTGGTTGGCATCATGCAATGATAGAGGAAATGACTGCTTTGGATGACAATGGTACTTGGGACCTGGACAGTTTACCTGCAGGGAAACGGGTTATAGGATGCAAGTTGGTGTTCACAGTAAAGGTAAATCCAGATGGGTCAGTTGCTCAATTAAAAGCCCGTCTTGTCGCTAAGGGATATGCTCAGACCTATGGGGTAGACTATTCTGATACTTTCTCTCATGTTGCTAAATTGACCTATGTTCGGTTGTTTATTTCTTTAGCCGTTACTCATCATTGGCCTTTGCATCAACTTGATATCAAGAATGCTTTTCTTTATGGTGATATTCAGGAGCAACCTCCTGGTTTTGTTGCTCAAGGGGAGTCTAGGCAAGTTTGTCGTCTTCGAAGGTCTCTGTATGGTTTGAAACAGAGTCCTCGTGCTCGATTTGGAAAATTTAGTCAGGCTGTTGATCAATTTGGTTTGATGAAAGGCAAGTCTGACCATTCTGTGTTCTACAAACAATCGAAAGCTGGTATCAGTCTTTTAGTTGTGTACGTGGATGACATTGTCATTACTGGAAGTGATGCTATGGGAATCTCATCACTTAAGTCTTTCCTTCGTACTCAGTTTCACACGAAAGACTTAGGAATGCTAAAATATTTCTTGGGGGTTGAAGTTACCAGGAGTAACAAAGGCATTTTTTTATCTCAACGAAAATATGTTCTTGACTTATTAACTGAGACAGGAAAATTAGGGGCAAAGCCATGTAGTGCTCCAATGAATCCTAACATGCATTTTATAGGTGATGGAGAACTAATCGAGGATCCTAAGAGATATAGACGATTGGTTGGAAAGCTGAATTATCTTACAGTGACTCGTCCAGATATTACATTTTCTGTCAATGTTGTAAGTCAGTTTATGGCATCTCCAACAGTTCATCATTGGGCAGCGTTAGAACAAATTTTATGTTATTTGAAAGGAGCACCTGGACATGGTATCTTGTATGCAGATCATGGGCATACTCATATTGAATGTTTTTCAGATGCAAATTGAGCATGCTCCAAATTAGATAGAAGATCCACATCAGGTCATTGCGTCTTCGTTGGAGGAAATTTGGTCTCATGGAAGAATAAGAAGCAGAACGTTATGTCACGATCGAGTGCAGAGTCAGAATATAGGGCTATGACACAGTCGATGTGTGAAGTAATGTGGATATATCAGCTCCTGACTGAAATAGGTCTTAAGACTTCATTTCCAGCAAAATTGTGGTGTGATAACCAAGCGGCCCTTCATATTGCATCCAATCCTGTATTTCATGAGTGTACTAAACACATTGAAATTGACTATCATTTTGTTCAAGAAAAAATTCAACAAGGTTTGATCTCTATCAGATATGTGAAGACTGGAGACCAATTAGGGGATATTTTCATGAAAGCCTTGAATGGGATTCGGGTTGCTTATCTTTGTAACAAGTTGGGCATGATTAACATCTATACTCCAACTTGAGGAGGANCTCCAACTTGAGGGGGAGTGTTATAGATGTAATTAGAGTAGGATACTAATTTATTTAGTTTCCTAAGATAGCTTCCCAACTCTTGTATATATAGATGTATTCACGTTTCTAATGAGTATGTTAATTTTCCCATATCAATTAACAGGCTTTTAAGTGATAGTGCATAAAATTTCTTATATACTCAATAGACAAGTTGGTTTGCTTTAGATTTTATTTTGCACAAGGGATAAATTGCACGAACCATTAAAAAACTTGATATAAGTTATTAATTGATCTGCAATTTTAAGAAGTATATAATCTCCTTGAATGTTAAATATATGGGCCCTAAAGATTGTTCAGGTGTCAATACAATCGGTTTTCACAGGCAGCAGCGCATCAAACTGACATAGGACAGATTCGGAAAGATTTTCAGATCATTGTAGGCACAGATGTAGATTACCCAGATAGTTGTTCTTAAGGTTTTAGGGCTTCTGGGGATATTTCAGGCACGTTTCACAGGAGAAATTGATTGGGCAATTAGGAAAAGTGAAATTCAATTAAATTGTACGATGGCCATTGTCAAATGGTATTTAAAATACTGCAATTGCAGTATCGCAATAGTTTTATACTTACATTTTTACATTAGTCTCCCGTTTGGAACACATTTTCAGTTCATTTGAAGAAAAAATATGACCGTTAGCTGTCAAATTTGGGTCCCACCTGTGAGATGAAGATCAAAAAAAGTGGCTGCCTTTTCATTTCCAACAGCTATATTTTTCATTTTTTTGGATTAAAAATGTGCCCCAAACAGGGGCTAGGTATAGAAGTATCTGTTTCTTTTGGTTCAGAATTTGCACCTCTTTCAGACTAAGCCCTTCACAATTACATGGTCTATGAATTGACCAGTAAACTACTCGACAAGAGAGGTGACTTATCATTCATTATATACCATATTGGACATTAACATGTCTAAAAGAATAATCTATAAATATTTGAATACAGTCAGGCCCAAAATTAATTTAATTCCCCCTTTTTGCATCATTGTATCAAGATCCGAAGAAGTTAGCAATACTAATGCACCTACCAAAAATATTAATGAAATCTTTTGAAATCCCACTATTAATGAAATCTTTATAAATCCATTAGTTATCGAGAATACCTAAATTTTAAAGGGGGTGTCCTCAATTGAGATTTCTTTTTGTCTACACCTCAAAAGCTCCAGGACTAGATTGTTTACATTTCTCTTTGTTTTTTCCTTGAGGTGTTCAATTGAAGAAAAGAAAAGCCGTGTAATACAGAAAAAAAAAGAGTTAAAAACATTTCCTTGCTCTCTCCAATGATGAAAGGGGCAGGAGAAACTAACCAATGCAGCCAGCTCCGTGGCCAAACACTTCCTTGCTCTCTCAACATAGTCGCGGGCTTCATCATACTAAGATTCCAAAAAAGGAGAATAAGAATGAGATTTTATATTACCACTTTCAATAGACAAGAAAATAAGTTGATGGGATACACCTTTCCACGACGAACTAATAAAACAGCCCTGAAAAATGTCCCATTGCTACTCCCATCACCAGTAGCAGCAGTATTTCCCAAAACTCGAAGCTTGGTTTCATCTCCATCATCTAGTCGAGAAACATATTCTGACATCTGATCCCACTCACCCATGTTCCAGGCAGCACGAGCAGCCTGGGTAAATAACTTCAAGCACTTAGTGAAGGAATGGAATGAAATGAAATTAAACACTCCCAAGGTCCACTAACATTATCACCTCAAGTTGAGGAATGGGCTTTTAGAATCAAGGGTATCATAAATAAAACTAGAATTATAGTTGATTGCAATAAAAAAAAAACATATAATAGTTGTTTATCGTTTACTGAAGAGTTCAATATTTGCTTATCATTATTTTCAACTGAAGGGCACCCAAATATTTTATCTATTTTGTTTCAGTGTTCTAATCATCATTCAAGTTAAAATAAGGTTAGATGCGTGAAAGAATTATTCGAATTTAAAGGTAGTTTGGAAAGGAAAGGTAACATATTTTTCTTAGTTCTTCTAGAGTATCCATTATTTGAAAGCCAAAAACAAACCATTGGTGCCATTTCCAGTCGAGCAGCTGGCTCAGCAGGTGTCCAATATTCTTTGCACAGATTATTAAGCTCTTCCCACCGAGCAAGAGCTGCGAGGCATCTCATCCGCCCTAACAGAAGCACAAAAATATAAGAAAATAAGCATGGATTCATCAAAGACGGGAATCAGTACAATAAATACCCTAGATAACCCACCAGCACTTGACAAGTAGTCATATAATCCACTCTCAAATTGGTAAAAAGAAGCAAAGACCTAGTACAATCTATGTTGCTTGGACTCAAGAAGGTTGTCCGATACAGGTATATACCTAGGGGTCGGATCCTTTTTTCCCTAAAATCTAGGATAGGGGATGCAGCTAACAAGGATTCAAAATTTAGAGAAAGGTACATGTATACGTCTTATAAACTTAAAATTGCTTCAGAAATTTATATACTTACGACTTCAGATGAATTTTTAGGGATATATATTAATATGTGAAATTATAATTCTTTAACGAATTAAGTTTCAAATTATAATACTTCATTTGAAATTTGAAATACAATTTAAAATCAGTTTAAATAAAATAGCCCGGATAAACGATCTTCTTTGGTTTAAGGGATCTAAGAAAGATCCCATGCCCTTATCCATGTCATGTGTGCCCGAAATATGTACTTCCTCAAAAATGGAGAGTCCGGGCAAACAGTACACTGGACTCCGCTATATAGTGGAAAACTAATTATGTATAACCTATAATGCATGGACACNAATGAGAATGAGAATGAGAAAAGAATGGGTGCCAAACAGGGTCATAGTGGAAAACTAATTATGTATAACCTATAATGCATGGACACTCCTACTAAGTCGTCATGTCTGTGCACGAAAGGTGCAGTATCGTGTCAACCCGAACACTCAACAAGCAACGTGCCCTTATCCAACTTTATATATTTTTAAATTACCGACACTCAAGGTAAGTGCAACTACTAAACTATATTCAAGGCACAAAAGGAATTAAATTAATTAGGTTTCTTTAATTTTAGCTTCTGCTATATTAGGTTTATTTCGTCAATTGATTTCTTACTAAAATTAGATTTCTTGAGTTTCCTATTTAACATGGGGAGTGTTTAAACCTATGTTGCTCGGACTCTCCAAAAATGGAGAAGTATCTGTGTCGACACGACCCGGATATTGACACGGGATATGGATCGGATCCTCAGCTTTGCACTTGGACACGGCAGCAAAAGGGAGAAGATGAGGACTTGCGGTGGCGGAGAAAGAGAGAAACAAAGAAAGACGATTGTTGCAAAGGAAATGGAGAAGACGAGAAGTTGCAGAGGAAATGGAGAAGACGAGAAGTTGCAGAGAAAAAGAGGAGTTGCTGGGGAATAAGAGGAGTTGCAGAGAAGAAGAGTTGCTGGGGAAGAAGAAGAAAACCCTAATTTAATGTGGGCTATTGGCCCAATTTTTTAATATTTTATATGGGCTTTGTTAAAGTAGAATTGATAAAATTTTATTATTTTATTGGGATGAATTATAAGATCCAGCCCATTTAATTTAAATTTATTTTTGTACTAAAATTTTTATTTTTTATATTTTATTTGTGCAAACTTTTTATTTGGTAATTAAAATAATTTAATGTTATATCTTTTTTTGTATTAAATTTAAATTTTATCTTTATAATTATTTTTAAATAATATATAAGACATTGAAATTGATTTTTTTCTTTGAATTTTTTGGAAAAAAAATATTTTGACTTGAAATTTAAATTAATTTCAAATAACAATCCAATTGCTTAAATTAATTTTATGACATTTTATTTTTTATTTTTATTTATGTTAGCATTTTATATAGTAATTAAAGATCACAAATTCAATATTATTAATTATAAAACTAAAAATACTTGTACTACAATAAAATAAAATAATTGTTTTGTCATTTTTAACAATATTTTGTAAGACGTATCCCCGTACTCGTATCCAAAATTCGGATCCTTTTTAACCGTATCCCCGTATCTTAATTTTTAAAATGCGAAGGATCCGACTCCTAGATATGTACCCGTATCCGACACTCGCACCCGAATCCGAGCAACATGGGTTTAAACCTCAATAAATAGATAGTCAACAATTTGTTTTACTTACACATTGAGTATTGAATACATTACTACCCTCTCTCTCATTCTCTCCTTAATTCATCGCATTTCTCATAAGTTTCTAATTGTAGATCTTTTAACGAGCATCTGGTGTCAATTTGGCATCAGAAAAAACTTGCTCGATTTCTTTTCAGCAAGGAATAAATGATTCCACGATTTATTCTAAGGCACATGAGGAATTAAAATAATAAGGATTTATTTAATTCTAGTTTGTGTTAGAATATGTTTATTTCATTAGTAGGTTTCCTACTTAAATTATATATTTGTTCAATTTTCTACTTAGATTATGATTGTTTAAAACCCCATAAATAGAGGGTTAACACTTGGTTTTACTTACACCGCGATTATTCAATGTCACTTGGTTATACTTTTTTTTTTATAGATAATCCAATAATTTTATTCATCAAAGAAGAATAAACAGGAAGTGTATTATCAACTTATACAAGAAAGAAAAAACATAAAGTTAGGTAACCCCTCTATAGGATTACTAGTTGCGACATTAAACCAACTATATAAAGTCAATAAAAGAATTATCTAAATTGTTCTGTGGTCCGTGTTTGGTCTTCAAAACATCGGTTGTTCATTTCTCTCTACACACACCATATGATGCATCCCGGGATAAGATCTCATACAAGCTTGCTATCCTTATCACGAAACTTTCTCCTCCATGCCCGCATCACGTCCTCAATACATCTTGGCAGAACCCAATCTATATGTTGAGAAGCCAGAATATCATTCTACAACCAACGAATCACATCACAGTGAATAAACAAGTGGTCATGCGTCTCCCCATCACCGTTACACATATAGCACCACTCGGTAACATAGAAGCATTTTCTTCGAAGGTTATCAATCGTTAATGCCTGTGCCCCGACAACCGTTCATAGCAAGAATGCCACCCGTGGAGGCAGTTTACATTACCACACTATCTTCCAGGGGAATGAACTCTCCACAAGTCCCAAAATGGATCTAAAGAGCGAACTGAAAAAACACCATTCCGTGCCAACCTCCACGTCTACGATCCTCTCCAATTTGAATTTTCACATCATACAAATGGGGTAAAAAACATAGCATAATCATCTAGTTCTCAATCCTGCAAACCCCTCTGAAAGGTAATATTCCATCTGTAACTCCCATTGTGAACGGCTAACATATAGCACCACTCGGTAACATAGAAGCATTTTCTTCGAAGGTTATCAATCGTTAATGCCTGTGCCCCGACAACCGTTCACAGCAAGAATGCCACCCGTGGAGGCAGTTTACATTACCACACTATCTTCCAGGGGAATGAACTCTCCACAGGTCCCAAAATGGATCTAAAATAAGAGCGAACTGAAAAAACACCATTCCGTGCCAACCTCCACGTCTACGATCCTCTCCAATTTGAATTTTCACATCATACAAATGGGGTAAAAATCATAGCATAATCATCTAGTTCTCAATCCTGCAAACCCCTCTGAAAGGTAATATTCCATCTGTAACTCCCATTGTGAACGCTAAAACGTCCTTCACCATAGCAGATGAAGCCAAAGTAATGCGATACAAGGAAGGAAACCCCACCTTTAGCGGTATATCTCCACACCAACAATCATCCCAAAAACTGATATGATTACCATTCCCCACCACAAAAGTCAATTTATCCCGAAGATCGCTCTAATCTCGTCAAATATACCTCCAAACTCACCCCATAAGATCCACGACCCTCACCCGAACACCAACCCCCTTCCATCACTCCATACTTCGCCCCAATGATTTCTCTCCAGAAGCACTCCTTCTCCACTCTAAACCGCCACAGCCATTTACCCAATAATGCCTTGTTAAACAAAATGAGTCTCCTCAATCCGAGGCCCTCCATCTAGGGCTGTCCATGGGTCGGTTCGGTTCGGTTCTGAAGATACCCGAACCGACCCAAAACTTTCGGGTATTTAATAAATGGACCCGTCGGGTCCAAATATAATTATGGAACCGTTCGGGTTCGGTTC